GCGCTGGATACGATAATCGGACTGCTAAGGTAGTAAGGGTATCTTGAGGTTGAGATGGTATGATACAAAATAGGTCCAGTATAGGACATTTTCCGAAACCGCGCGATAATCGATCATCTCTTATCAGGCTCGGATTCCGAAGGCTCATCAAGACTGGAAGATCCCCGAGCAATATGAGATTCGGCAACTGATCGGCACTGGAAGCTACGGACACGTTTGTGAGGCCTATGATAAAGTAAGAGTATTATGAAGTTGATTTTACTTTGTAGTTTTGTTCGGTTAGTATAATCAGAGGATTGTTGCTATTAAGAAGATCCACAGAGTGTTTGAAGATCTCATTGACTGCAAGAGAATTCTCAGGGAAATTGCTATACTCAATAGGTGATCGAATGTTTGATGCCAGGGGCTGTGGTGAATTCACTATTCAGGCTTGACCACGACCACATAATAAAGATGTTGGATATCTGTCCGCCTGATGACCTCGAGAATTTCGATGAACTTTACATCGTAATCATTCATCTTCCCTCACCAACACACCGCCCCTGCTAGGTGCTCGAAATCGCTGATAGTGATTTCAAGAAGCTCTTTCGGACGCCGGTTTTCCTCACGGAACTTCACATCAAGACTCTGTTATACAATCTTCTGGTTGGAGTCAAGTATCTTCACTCAGCGGGAATATTACATCGCGATTTGGTAGTTTTCCGATTTGCGGCGTTTGCGGTCAAAATTACTCTTTTAAGTAGAAACCCGCAAACTGTCTGGTTAACCAAGACTGCTCAGTGAAAATATGCGATTTTGGTCTCTCGAGGGCGATAGGGATGGAAAAGCAGTTGCACTTACAGCACTTACCTAACACTCCTAGAGAAATAGATGTAGTGTGTGGGATTCGAACCCGGGTCCTTTGGAAAGTACTGGCTTATCAGGCCGAGGACACAACCGTTGGAGCAGCGTCGACGGCGACGGCCGCCGGGCCGATAGTCCCTCATACTCTGAATTTGAAAAGGCAACTGACTGGGCATGTTGTGACAAGGTAATGGCCTTCGACGCCTCTCACTGCATCATACCGTTTGTTAGGTGGTATCGGGCACCCGAGCTGATCCTGCTAGAGGAAAACTATGGCGAGGCAATAGATGTGTGGAGTGTCGGCTGCATCTTCGCTGAGCTCTTGGGTGAGATTCCGACGCAAATGTGTTTGCTTTTCTCAGCTGAGTTTAGGGGTTCTTTCACTACATTATGAGAATTCACACACAATTTTGGATGTTATTCATGTGATTTATCGCTGCTACAGTGCGTTCCAATTTGATATGCAAATGCGAAAAATGTACGAAATCGACCTGAGACTCTATCGCATATTATTATGAACATGTGATGCGATATAAGCAACTGTTTAGAACTGTGATGGCGACAAGTTGTTCACCAGAATGGGAACCTCCACATTTGCATATCAAACTGGCACATACTTTAGGAATGATGAAAGAGAACGTTGCCTTCCCATCCGATAGAGGTCCGCTCTTCCCGGGCAGTAGTTGTTTCCCACTGTCACCTGATCACAAGCACGCCACAGATTACAAAGTGAGTTCATAGGAGTAGTGGTGTCGGCTTTGGAGTAGTGGTGGTCGTTAGTTTCATACTCGGGGAAATCGAGATCAGTTGAATATGATTTTCAATATTTTGGGCACACCGTCTGATGAGGATATCGAAGAACTCGAGAAGGAAGATGCTAAGAGGTAATGGTCTAACGGTTACTTCTCAGGTTTGACAACCTGTGCACCCGGGTTCAATCCGTCGTCGGTGTATTCTTAACAAATTTCCTCCAGGTATATTAGATGCTTCACGCGCCGCAGCGGGACTGGCATCAGGGAGAAGTTCAGAGGATCTTCCCGTAGGTTCTTCAACCGATAACACTATTCCTGATAAAAATTCATTTTCAGTGGAGGCGTTGGACATTCTGGACAGAATGCTCGTTTTCAATCCTCGTAAACGCATCACAGTCGATGAATGTCTGGAGCACCCTTTTTTCAAGGGAATTCGAGGGACCGAAACTGTTGCTAAGGATCAGGTCAGATCAGGTTTGAGCTTAGGTTTTCAGGTTTGACTGTTTAGGTTTTCCTGCAATTTGAGCTCGAACCTGAACTTGATGAAATGCAACTCCGCAAGTACTTCATAATGGAGATGCAGAAGTTCCATCCGGATGTACGATGTGACGAAGGCGTGGTATTAGATGATTATTTAATTCCTAGGTACCAATGCCCGCCAGGTTCCAACGCTCGTAGGCTACTCCTAAGCTGTGTGATGAGTAGTAGGACCTATTGAAATACCATTCTTTCTACTACTAAGAAGAACTCGTCTTGTTGTTGTTGTTGCTGAGAGCTGCAGCATCGGTGCTTTCACAGTAACCACTAGTGGGAGGACTATTGAACCTAGGAGAAGTCGCATTGTTTTTTATTCAATCTAGAACCATCAGTAAACTGCAGCTAATACTCGTTAATAATGATTACTAATGTACGGTGATGTCGTGTTATATGAGCACCCGGGTTCGATCCCTGGTAAGCGCTATTCATCCATGGTATCACAACCCTCCGACTCAACAGCAGCTCCTCAGCTGCACATCGAGAAGACCCCACGGTTGGTCATGTTCGAGTTCCATCAGAATGACCCTAAGAAGGACACAGGCATGCGGCTGGTTAAAAGAGGTGCTGCCAAGGCGTTGAAACCCCATGTTCCGTTTCAAGTAATGTCTTATCGAAATCGATGAAGTCTACGGACCTTTCAGGGCGTCCTCTTATCTGCTGAGGGGAAGTCCTATCTGTCGGGTGGTGATCGAGAGATCGTTGCGAAGAGCGGAATTGGCGCTATAAACTGTTCCTGGAATCGCCTCGATGAAATTCCGAAGTAAGAGAGTCTTTTATGGTAGTGTTGGGATATGTGTTTGCTTTCTCCAGTAAGAATATGGATACACGTATTGATATCATAATCTACCCTTTGGTTGCTCAGAATATTACTAATAGAGTATTTTGAATTGCCGAAATTGGTACACGGGGTAGAAGTGTGCAAAAATCACGGAAATTTTCTCACAATTTTTGTATAGTCACCAAAGCATATGCACATTTTCTCAGGCGAATGAAGGTTCCTCCTCATCATTATCGTTTGTTGCCGATGACTCTAGTTGCGGCGAATCCTATAAATTTCGGCAAACGTGGAAAACTCTGTACGGCTGAGGCGCTTTGCGCAGCTGCGTATATAACAGGGTACAAGGACTTCGCTGAGGAAACTCTCAATGGAAGTTTTGGTTGGGGAGAAGAGTTCTTCGAATTGAATCGAGATGTGCTGGACTTGTACGCTGCGTGTAGCAGCTCTGATGAAGTTGAGGAGGCGGAGAAGGACTTCTTACGGAGCCTTGAGGAAGAGGCTGCTCATCGGAAGATGCGAATGATGCCCTCTAGCGACTCGTCGAGTGATGAGGAAGACTATGAAGAGGAGGAGACGAGAGAAGTTGATGCGTGTGGTAATTATATCGAAAAATAACAATACCAACGTTCCTGCGATTCGCAGAGTTGTGTTGTGAGTGTATTGATTGGACGGCCAGTCAAGTGAAGTTATAAAGACCTCTATCTTGATCTATTCAGGGGGATTATGTCATTAGCTTTGCACATACGTGTAAATGGGTAGAAGTAGTAATAGAGTCGTTGCAGTTTCGATGTTCTGGTTAGTGAAAGCAGCGACTTGCCTGTTGGTATCAGCTGGGGGTGAACGACCACTAACGACGCAACAGATCAAGTTGGAAGCGCCCAGTTTGACTCGAGAGGTGCATCGTCGTCGATTTTCCTATTAATAGCGCCTTTCAGGATATGTATTCGGATGCTCTGCCGAGGCAGTATCGATGTGATGGCTGTCGAGCGATTGCATATCATATCGATAGAGCGCTTTTGAAGGACGCTGAAAAAATACGTGTACGAGGCGTTGGTGGTGTTTACTGGAGTTCCACCCGTTTAACGTGAAGTGGCGTAATACTTGATGTAAATCATAGTATATATTTCTGCGATCGATAACACAATTGTTTTATGCGAAGCGAATAGTGACATATGTTTTTCACTAGTGTTTTTCATATCACGGGTGAAACTCCACTATTTGAATATTACAGCTTTGGCGAGCTGCCGATGCTCGCTGAAATTCGAAACGAATTAGTCCCATCATGAGGCTCTCTTGTAGGCTAAAAAGATGCCCGAATACGAGATCATCGATAAACTCGATGCACTTTGTGACGATAAGTCCTTCGAAGGCTATGGTGTCAGACGCGGGGTGAGTCGTACCAGCACCTAGAGGGCCGTGTAGCTGATATTATGGAGAATATATAGACTAGGCCCTGGAGACAAAGAAACGGAGATCGGAATGTTTGTGATGATCGCGGGTTCGATTCCCGGCACGCGCCTTTTTCAAGTATTTTCCGCTTGATAGTAGTCACGGCGCACAATAGTCTTGGCCAATATACGACATAGGCCGGGTTTGGCGATTTAAAACTATTATTACATTATTAAGGAATTATTTCCACACTTTTCGTCTCATTTCAGAGTAGTGGAAAAAATGTGTTGTCTGGTGTCGGCATCAACCCTCCAGAGACTTTGCACGGCGGCAGTGGTGGCTCGATACAGATGGGGGGACAGCAATGGTCCAGACGACTCGCATCTATGTGTCGAGAGCTAGTTGGTGAGATGCTATAGAAGTTTCAAAATTGGGCGGCATGTGTATTTTCCGAATTTAGTGTGGGGGGAAAATATGCACATGGTCAACAACATGTGTCGGTGACAATCATGATATTTTCCGAGTTCACTCGCCTTATCGGATGTGGAGAAATATGCATACGGTCAACTACATGTGTCAGTGAGGATACGAGAGTTCCGAGAGGATTTCGGGTAACTCTCATTGTTTTCTGTACACTTCTACCCAAATTCGTATGAGTGAGGAGAGATCTGAGCCTAGCTGAGAATCCTATCCTCCAGTATTGGTCTTATTAGAGGAGATCGGCGAGAAGGATCTGGTCGCAAGTTGGGCGAACATGGACGAGGGCATATCCCCGTCCCTGTTCTGTTCGTCATATTGCGTTACTGAAGACTCCCCTTCCCTCGACCATAAGGTGTCTCTAGAGGAGTTCATTACTACGATGGCGCTCGAGCGCGGTTTGGACGTTGGCTTCTATATGGAGAACAGTGAGCTGCGTAGGGGCCCTCTTGATGCTACCGATGACCCGCAGAGACTCGTCGGGATTGGATCGAAGAATTCGTCAAGCTTGCTCAAGCTTTGCAAATCGATCAGCAGCAGACGGCTGTCAATCATGTCCATGAGCTCTGAATCCTTTGCATATCAACAACAGACTTTCGTTACTTTTGCGATAGTTTCGATGGTTTCGACTTTTACCTCGTTTGGGAATACTCGAACTGGTCGAGGGAACTCGCTGATTCATCGACGCTGAGCTCGACGGGGCCTTTGAGATCACCTCAGCATCTTCTCGGAGATGTGAGCATCTTCTCGGAGTAACACCACTGTGGGTGTTACTACTAATAGATCTCAACAGAAATCCCTTCACGCTCCTGTCATGGAAAGCGTGAGGAATGACAGGCGCGCGTGAATGTGCAAATCGGAGACACGGGGCCTGTTTCACAAGGATACTTAATTTAAGGCGCCTTAAATATAGGAGCAACTTAAGGAGTTACTTAAGGTATACTTAAGAAGTACTCAACTCATTTCACAACGTTTAGGAGCAACTTAAGGAGCTCCTTAACTCAAGGCGTACTTAAGTATCTACTTGAACATGGTTACAGGTATAGAATAGAGTTACATATTCAGTTTTGTGGTGTAAATGCTCCAGTGGTTAGGCTGTTCGTTTCCCACACTATCGACGTAGGTACGAATCTGAGGTACGCTGTTTCTATGGTCGTTTACTGTTTCGCAACTACTTCCCTCGATCATGGGTGAGGTATCAATGGTAAGTTACCATTGGTAACGAGCTGCAGGGGGATTTCCCACGAATTACAATGTTAGCTAGAATAAGTCACTCAACGGTCCGCTAAGTAGAAAATATACTCATCTGAACTCAATGGTGACGCAAATCACTGAAATATCACTAAGTCGCTGCAACTACCTGCGAACGTAGCTCTTGCGAAGAGCGTTCCCGACACCATCCACTGGAGCATCTGGGTCAATTAGAGTTATTCAAGATGACTGTGATTGACCCAGATCCTCATCTCCTGTTCACAAGCAGCAAACATTGCATCCTCGACGTTTTGCAGTGGCTGATTCTCGAAGGTGACCATATCGTGAAGTTCGGTTCGGCTTTTGCTGCGTTGAAGAAATGAACTCTTCGCTCGGTTTCTCTGCCCCTCTGGACAAGTGGGAGAGCACCGTACTGCCGTTCGTAAGGTCTCCGGTTCGACCCCTGCGAGATGCAATATTAAAGCATCGTCCTTCGAAGGGTCCCTGGTTCAACCCCTGCGGGGTGCAATATTCAAACACGGTACTTAAGTATCTGTTTAGGTAGGGTCGGCTCTACCTTAATAAAAGTGCAGGTCCAGGCTTGCATGGGGCAAATTCAAGCAAGCGTAACAAGTATCGCTCGTGCGTGCGTAGCGCACGCCATGGTGATCGACTCGAACGAGGAGGTAGTGCAACCGGTCGAGGATTAGGTGATAGCAATCTGGCTGTGCAAGAGCATCTCGAGCCGGTTCCACTCTGGAATTTTTCTTTTATTGTTTTTACTAGTTGTTTGGGGGACATTGCCTATGTGCCTGCGTGCTAGGCAATGTGACTGTGGTGTTGAGCCAATGCACGGCGTATTGTGAGGTTCGGTATAATCACCGCCCTCTGCTGCCTAGTTGGCTAACACCCAGTCTCACCCAACACTCCCGAATGACTAATACGATGCGGTGGAGC